CTTTAGGGTTTTAGGGTTTAGGACAGTATAGGGTTTAGGGTTTTAGGGGGGGTGCCCTTTTCCTATGATAAACTTTGAAATAAGGAGATCCCACCCTCCGCCTTCACAAAAAGTGCAAAAAGGTCGATTGCTGATGGGGTCAGCATCTGCTAACAGTCACGATAACGTCCCCTTCTTGCGAAACCTTACCACGGGCACGGAGAACCTCTGTCGTGTTGGCGCTGATGGCAAGAAGCTTCAGAAGGACGTCCGTGGCCAAGGGGATGTTACGATAGAGACTAATAGCTTCGAAAGCCGCCGGCTTCCTTTCCTTAGCTGCCCAGTACCCTGGCCCAAAAAAGCTTAAACTTCTCTTTTATAGTAGGGGTTAAAAATACCCAAAAAACTATAAAAGTTTACCTATTGGGCTCCTCCCTAAACCCTAAACCCTAAACCCTCAACGCCTGAGTTTCCAAGCTTTGCTCCCGGCGCAGTTTCAGCCGGAGTGATCCGAAGACCCCACCCCCCCAGTCCGGCAATACTGAGCCGAAGTGAGCAGTCTGGTCTTGTACTTGGACATCCAGGCCACACCTTACTTAGGGTTTAGGGTTTAGGGTTTAGGGTTTGGGGTTTAGAGTAAGGTCCTTACTTGCCCAATATCCTAGGGGAACGAATGAATAATACAATAGCTCCATAATACGACTAATGCTAGGCACTACAACTATAACCCTATAGTAAGCACTACGAATCATGCTACTGAGGGCTACTAAGAATACTAATAATAATGCAAAAATACGACTCAGATCCGTAAACCCTGAACCCTAAACCCCTAAAGCAACAAAAAGCCCGAAACTCGTAAACCGTACTAAGACACTCTGCTCCCAAAGCTGTGGAGTTGGTCTCGCACCCGAACATTTGTGCTCGAAAGCTGCTTTGCACTTCGCTATCCGCAGTCGCCATCCCGCCGCAACCTGGGTTTTGGGCCTCTCTTAGGGTTTAGGGTTTAAGAGTTTTTACGGCTTAGGGTTTAGAATAAATAATACTTTTTCGGGACTTAATAATTTCAATAGGCATCATTTACAGGTTTCCTGTAAAGGAGTAGAATAAGGGTTGCTAGAACAAGGGATGTAGGGCAAAGGGGTCTTAGTAATCAGAATAGGGTCCAAAATTACACTATTGTCATGTTCCGGAACCCCGAAATAGTGTTAACCTAGGTTGGCCATGTAAATTAAAGAACCATAGAGCACCCCTAACCCTTAAACCCTCAACCGCCGCGGTTTAGGGCTTCGGGTCTGGGGCTTTCGGTTTACAGGTTTAGGGTTGAGGGGTAAACCCAGGCAGGAAAAAACCCTGAAACGTCCCAAAGGCCCACCTAGCAACCTTGGCTTTCGTGCCAGGAGTAGTTGTGGTAAGCTGCAAAGCCTCGACAGCAGACGGAAGTTTCAGTACTAGGGCTTAGGGTTTCGGGTCTACAGGTCCTGAAAAGGTTTGAAGGTGTAGGGTTTAGGGTTTGCAGGGTCTTTAAGATTTGAGGGTGTAGAGTTTCGACGGTTTTAAGCTTCGAGGGTTTAGGGATGAATGCTTTTTTGGTGTTGGGTTCTGCGCTTCGAGGCTTGTTTTGCAAGAATTTCCGGAGTCATGCCAGTCTGAAGTGCCATGGCTTAGAGCTTTAGGGTCTGGGGTTTAGGGTTTAGGGTTCAAGGATTTGGGACTCTTGAGCCTTAAGCTCATGGTTTCGATTTGCGATTTCTGTTCGTACTAGAACCTCAACAACTAAGTCCATGCTATGTACTCTAAATTAAGCTAGCCTAGAACCTATGCAGTAGCATCCGGAGTTAATCACCCC